ATTATTAGCTATTGCTATGTTTTAGAGTGTGCTATGCAGTAAAGGCACAGAAAGAGACGTGGCCCTTACTGTCATGGACCTTATATTCCAGTGGGATTTCCAAATAAACAATAAATGATATTATGATATTATTACCATAATATTGTACATGAGAAGAAATAGGAGTCTCTAACTTAAGAGAGTTTAGGACAGACTTTCTGAAAAAATGGAAGGTGCTAGGCAATAGTAAAATGGAAGAAGTGAGAACTATTCCGAACAAAGAGAAAAATCTGTGCAAAGGCTCAGGGGCTCTACAGTTATGAAGAGGTGAGAATGACAAGAAGGACAAAAGGCCGGGTCTAGGGCAAATCAGTGGTCACAAGCAATATCCTCGTACTCATCAATCCTCTAATAGCCCTTCAGTCAGGAACACCATCAAGTTTGGCATCCAAATCAGAAGAAATTTCTAACAATTGAGGGTGAGAGGATACTCTGGTACCTTATGAAAGGAAAACAGAAATCACTGTAAAAACACTTTTTATAATCCTTTACTGTTGGCTACTTTTCAGAAACAGATTCAATTACCTCCTCTTTTTGGTATGCAGGTAAAAGGAAGAAGTTGTGTGACTTACCAAAGGGCATATAGGTCAGACTTGAATCTAGATCCTCTGGAACCAAATCCAGAGTCCTTTACCCTATATGGAGCTGCCTCCAGTTTCAGACACTGGTCAACTTGTTATTCTCCACAATGTTCCAAAGTTACATTTGAGTTAGCAACTCTGTCCTCTAAAACAAAAAGTTTTCCTGCTTCCATTCATCTTAGTCTGAAGTAGAATCTTAGAAATTCAATCAGAAGGGATATAAAAATCATTAAGACCAATGACCAACCTAATGATCAAATATCCTAACATCCTGGACTATTTAATTTGAAGTGGCCCCTTTCCTCCTTTCTAACCTGAATCTGTTGACTGCCCACTGAGAAAACACAGGCCTAGTTTAAATGACACATAGAGTATAGCATAAATTTATGAGGTCCCTCTCGCTAAAAATGAGGAGGTGGTGGGTATAAAGGTGAGGCAGTAAGCATGTACAATTTTGCCACTCTTAAAACGCCTCTACAAAAAGCCATGTTAAATAATTTTTCTCCAATAGTTATAAGAATTTGTTAATACTGTACACAGATGTAACAAATACAGTAGTGAAAAGTGGTGCCAAGAATCACTCAGTCATTTGGTAACCAATAAATCAAGAGATAAAATGAAAAACTTTAGCAATATATTTAATAGCCCAACTTCTATTATCTTTGCTAATCTTTTCATTGTTATTTGGCAAATCTAAACGCTCCCTGTTAAGATTTCTATAAGCTCAAAAACACTGACCTTTGCTTCATCCTGAGGATGAAATACGGAATCACAATTTCTGTGATAAGAGTGTGACTATACAACAATTCAGCCAACTCTTAAAGCACAATAAACTAATTTTAGGTCAGCTATGATACATCCACTAGTAAGAGAATTTACATTGCAAAGGGGAATAAACTTAGTCAAGAAAGGTCTAATTTCATCATGTTATCATAAAAGTATCTAGAATACTTTCATCAGTTATCAGCAAAGTACAAATGGCTTTGAGATTGAGTGGACTCAAAATGAACTCACAAGTAGTCTAATCAAAAGTCCCTGGTTAGTCTACCCAAAACTAAGATTTGAACATAGCTGTTTAATCCAAAAAATTTATAGAAGCAGAGTACCATGGATTATCCTTTCCTGATTATGATATACCAGAAGCCAAGTTATGTTTGGTAATACCAATTCCATTTACATAACACTTTATAGTTTCAGAAATGCTCATATAGATATCTTACTTCAGGATAGCAAGGCAGGTCATGATTATTATGTAGATGAGATATGAGTACAGAGACTAAATCACTTGCCCAGTGTCACAGAACCAATTAAAATACAGAGGCAGATTTTTTTCAATATTCATTTACACATATCTAGAATGCTAAGACTTTGTTTTAGGGCTGGGGTGGGGAACGACCAGCCCGCAGGCAGTATACAGCCCACAAAATCATTTGGTCTGGCCCTGCTAAGGCAATCGCAGGAGGGGCTCAATATTCAATAAATCTAGGAGCTTTTTTCATAGCTAAATTTTAAGTTGATAATTTTGTATGGCCCTCAAATGATGTTATAAATATCCAAATGGCCCTTGGCAGAAAAATGGTTCTCTACCCGTTTTAGGGCCTGGTCAATGGTAGAGATAAAGTCTTTGATCTCCAGTCTACATTCTAGTGGAAGAGAGGCAATAAACAAGCGAACACACAGAACATAAGATTTTATATAAGTGCTTTAATTTTAGATAAGTTTTAGAGAAATGCTATAAAGAGAACATGGTGATGGATAGAGTGGTTGCAGAATGGCACAACTAGAGGTCAGAGATGGTCTAAGGAGATGACATCTGAACTGAGGCCCGAATGGAGATAACAAATCATTCATGTGACGGTCTATCAAGGTCTTTCCTGGCTGAGGAAAAAGAAAGTATAAAGTCCCAAAGACAGGAATGACTGTAGATGACAAGGTGACCAGACAGCTGAAGTGGATTAAGAGGGAGGAGGGTAAAGAGGGAAGAGGGTAAGAGACAGTGGTTTGATTATACGGAGCCCTTAGGCCACTCCAGAAGGTAGTATTTAAAGAGAAATTGAAGACATATGTGGGATGATCTGATTTGCGTTTTAAAGAAATCATTCAAGTTGCCATAAGAACTGTAATACAATCAGCTAGCAGCACCCTTGAGCTTCAAAAGTACTAGTAAGTCTATTCCTTGAACAACATTCCTGGAGAGTAGATACACGGGTACTTGTTACCTTTGAGAGACTTAACATGTATATTATACACTTTTCTGTACAAAATTCCATAGTTTTAAAAAGTAAATTGACAGATATAAGGGTGGAAGAAAAACCACCAAAAAGCTTCTGTAACAGTCCAGGAGTGAGGTGATGGTAACTTGGGAGGAGTGGAGGTGAAAAGTAACGGAATTTGTAATTTATATAGTTCAGAACTATGGTAATTAGGTCTTCCTGATAAATGGAGGCAGGGGCAGGAAACAAGGCTAACCAGTGGTTCTTAATGTGGGACGATTTTGTCTGCCAGGGGACATTTGGAATGTCTGGAGACATTTTTGTTTGTCACAATTGGTGGTTGGGGGAGTGTGGGTGGTAGGCTACTGCGCTTTATGGGTAGAGGCCAAGAATGCTAAACATACTACAATGCACAGTAGAACTGCAAAACAAAGAATTACTTGGCTAAAAAGTATTAATAGTGCTGAGGGTGAGAAATTCTTACCCGATTCCAACTGGTTCCCATCCCAGAATAGCCATACTTCTGGGAGAATCTACCAAAAAAAAAAACCACCCACCCCCAAACCTAGAAATGGTAGTCCTTATTTTCAATATTTAGAGACAACTAAAATTGTTGTATACACAAAATAGTTTATTTGTTTAGAGATAAATTATATCGCTGTGGTTAACTTTATGTTGATTAGAAAGTCTGATTGGTACAGGAGTCTAACAAAATATAAAAACACTAATTACTGATTAATAAATGCTATTTGTTGAACACTTTCTCAAAATGCAATTAGAAAACTTCTATTTGGCAATACCATCCAACACTGCTTTTAATTTTCCTTTTTATCAGCTTGTTTAATCTGTAGACCAATAGTCACTACTTTTTTCAAATAAAAATTCTTCCAAAATCTAAAGGGATGGCTATGAACGCTGAAAAGATAATCACAACTATAAATAGAAAAAATGGCAGGAAAAGCTGGAGGAAAATAACCCACTTGTGTGTATGTGCATATAACTATTTAGTTATCTGTCTTATTTTGGGCCTTGAGCAAGTGGACACATTAGTTTTAGGTATCAGAAGACTGCAGCACACAGTTCGCTCAATTACTCTAAGACCAGCTCAACAAATCACAAAATGCCAAAGTTGATAAAGTGCCTTTTACCTCATTCTTTATTAGCTAAAGGGAAAGAATTTGGAAAAAGTCACTGTGAACCTTTCCCACAGCATCCTCAAAGTCTGGAACTACTACTAATGCAAAAATTACATGCCACGACATTCTCAGGAAGATCTCAAGATCTGAAATTACTTGGTAACTGAAGTAGGTAACAGAAAATACAAAAATTATTATCTACTCCTACGATGGCAGTTCAGAACATTACCTTCCATTTGAGCTCTCACAAAGTGGGACTGGGGGAAACTATATCTAAGACGCTACAACGTCAATTTTGGTTAAGAAAAGGATGCTCTTAATTATAAGAACCTCAATGAAATTGGTCATGGACACATGCAATAGTAGGTTACTAAGTCTGCTTAAAACTGAATTTTAGTAACAATTAAGTTTTCAAAGATAAAGGGGGGGGGGCAGTCACATTGTCACAGGCTCATTCACATCATTTACCCAAAAACTTGGAAATCACCTCGCAAACTGAGAGGCCTCCGGCCTGAATTCCTCCACCCTAGCGGCAGAACGTAAACCTCCGACAACCTAGACGTAAAGGACACTGGCTCTTCACTACCCGGAAAATCACGCCGAGTTCCCGCGAGGCCGGGGGCCGTTTCCGCGGGCATCACCCCCCGGCAACCTGGGAGCGCTCTTCCCAGGTGCACTCCGGCGGCAGCGCTCTCAGGACAGTGCAACGTCGTCGTTACGCTCGTGACGTCACCCTCTTCCCCGAGGATACACAGAATTACCCCCGGCATAAAATTCGCCGACACTAACCCCCTTGGGCAGCGACCGTTAAACACTCCTGCTTTTCTTCAGGCCTTCCGAAACTCGAGTCTACCGCAGTCATCACGCCAACCCTCCCCTCCCCAGAGGCGCAGCTACGGAGCCTCAACACCGCAACGCGCGGAGAGGAGGCGCCAAAATAAACCACATTCTCGCGAACCTTACACACAATTCTCGCGACATCTTCCTGCCTGCCCCCCCACCCGTCTCCCCCATTCCACCCCTACACAGCGCCTTGCTTAAAAACATCGCGAGATTTTCTTCTTTCAATCTCCGCCCCTTTACGGCACGATGGTCGCACAAGAATGTAATACAGGCTTCACGGCCGCCATTTTCTCTCTTTCTTAGCAGTTGGCTGGGAGTAGGTCTCTGCGAAGAGTGGTAGCGGCTACGGTAGGGTAGACATGGCAGACTATTCAACAGTCCCTCCACCCTCCTCTGGCTCAGCTGGTGGTGGAGGCGGCGGCGGTGGTGGTGGAGGAGTTAACGATGCTTTCAAAGATGCGCTGCAGAGAGCCCGGCAGGTAAGCCAGGACCGCGCGGCAGGATCCCGACAGCTCACGGTAATTGGCCGCTGGCTGAGTAGGCCGCTACTTGTTCGCGCAGAGGAAGAGGAAAGACATGCTCTTCCGGGCTCTGAAATGTGCGGGGACGCACGTTTCCCCACGTTGTAATGCCGGGCAGAGGCTGGAACTAGGTTTTGTGTTCTCGCTGCCTAAGCCGGTTGGAACCCCAACGCGTCCTGGAGGGCTTTAGTTCTTTCTCCCGCTCCTGCGGCACTCGCGCTTCTTTCTCCAAACAGCATTTCCTTCTCAGATTGAACATGCTCCCCCGTAGGGTCAGTTGTGCGTAGTTTTGCACAATAGTATGGAAGGTTCTGGCAATGAGTCTGGGAAAGAACCGGGGTCTGCCCCTAGGAGCGATGGTAAGGGAAGGGATATGTCATTAGAGCAGTCTCTACAGCTCTCTTCGCAGTTAATCTTTCGGTATCATTAACTTTAACACCTACAAGGAAGAGACTTAAGGAAGCATTAAATCCCGGGTTGAAATCCTTCCTCTGGGCGGGTTTTACGTGTCTGTGTTTTACCAATCCTTCCGCCTTATTTCTCAAAATGGCTTCAGGCCCATTTTACCCCAAGTTTCAATTTGAATCTGCCTCTCTGTTCAGAGTCGTAAACTGACCACCTCTTTGTATTACGTAGGTGCATACATTTGCCCTGAAGGCGCTCCTTTTACTAACGAAAGCGGGGGAGGGAGGGAAGCACATGTACTTCAGGAAATTTAAGATTTCTAAATTCGAACTTCATCTTTATTGGATACTACCTTAATATAATATAATTATAATTTTAAAGTGTATGATGTTGGTCTCGACTTGTATGTAAGCAAAAATGAGAATCTTTTTCTCCTTATGACACTGCATAGTAGGTGCCGGACGTTTTTAGACAATCAGTGTTGAGAATGGTAATCAGAAACTAGTTTCGTGCTATGCTTTGATTGCAGTAGAAGTTAAGTTAGTTAATTTTTTTACCCCCCAAGTTAAAGCATTATTTGACCCAAAAATCCCCCCAAAAATTGGTAGTGATTTAACAAGTCGTTCTTATTTTTATAATGTGAACACATTATAAATAAAAATGTACCTGTACTTGTTTATAATCAGAATATAGGGGGGGATCAAGGCAAAGTCATTGTTGATAATAATTCTGCGGTTTTTTTCCACTTAATTTTAATTTATTCTGAACATGTTTAGAATAGTGACTGGAAAACATTTATATAATGACAGGACCTCTGTTAGTGGTGTTTTATTAGATTGAGTTGGAAGACTCCCCTGAATTATTTTTATTCAATCATCATACTGAATGAATATGTGCCACACACTGTACTTAGATACTGGAGAATTTTTTAAGTGTGTGAATTGGATTTCTGCCTTCTAGGAAGCTATGATATAGTTAAAGGAACCAAATGCAAATGAATTGTATCTGATAAATGCTTTCAGAAAGGAGTAGACAAAATATGGGCACTGTTAATCTACTGGTTCTGCAAACATTTTATAGAGTTCCTACTATGAGTTAATCACTGTGCACACCACCAGGGAGTGGGGTGCCTAACTGCCAAGTAAAGTACTGGTATTTTAAGCAAGGCATTGAAGAATGAGTGGGAGTTTGACCAGTGGAAAAAAGAAGCAGCACGTGCAAAGGTATGGGGTTTTTTGCAATGACAAGAACCCAAGAATGAAGTCATTGAAGGGAGAGTGTTGGGGGGAGGGAAAGAGAGTGGAAAGTGAAGTGAGAAAAGGTACAGATGGATACTTCTCAAAGACTTTTTGGGTAGCCATGCTTTAATTAAAAAGGTTTTGTTATTTGGCTACACTATAATTTCCTGGTTAAGTTAAACTGCTTTTTTAATGTGGAAATTGTCCTAAAACTATGGAATTTTTTGTACTCTTTATATGCCAGTAGGTCAGCTGCCCAAATGCCCTTGTTGTAATGGTTCTTTATAGATGTCTTTGCTGTAATAATTTGATTGTTTCTTTACAGATTGATCTTAAATGTGAGATTTTCAAATTTAGCTTTTGAGTTGAATTAGCCCTTCTAATTACATTTGAGGATACCGGTTTGTCTTATACTAGAATGTGGGGAAGAGTACTGGGACTGAAGGAACAAGTTTAGGTTAATATTTGAACCACTTTTTCCTAGAGGATACTGAATTATATTTCCAAAGTTCCCTTCTCACCTTAGGTTTCATTTCTTTGTCCAAAGTATTATGCTGTGTTCTTTGGAAGGAAGAGGTATAAGAACTGCTTCTTGCTCTCAAAGAGCTGTGTGCCAAAGGGGATACTATGGGCCTTTTTAGCAGGAAAGCAGGATAAGTGATTAGGATCCCTGGTCCCTACCTTGTAAAGGGCAATAGCATTTACTCTAGCTGGTTGTTTCCATCGGGTAATTTAGGCCAAGTTGCCAACTTTTTTTTTTTTTTTTTTGAGAATCCTAATTGTTTATTTTTAATATGAAATTTATAGACTTTTATAATACTCTGTGAGCTAAATCCAGCATGGGGGCACCAGGTTGCTTCTCTAGGGTTTCCAACCTGTACACTTTAGAAATTTATATTTTTGTATTTCAAATTATGACTCCAGAGTGTGAGGTTGGGATTCTGGTGATCACACTAAATAAGTTCTGTCTCTGAACACTGGAAAATTAAAATGTATCTATCCACTTTTTCCCCCTCAAGGTTATATGAAGATAGTGCATCAGACAGGCTGACACTAGATGAGTAGAGTGGTAGATCACAAGTTAGCAAGAATATCAAACTTCATCCATTTTGCTCACCGAGTAAACTAGTTAAGTATTCAATTATTCTTTTGTATTATTACTGATTTTAGAGAGGGAAAGAGAGATCCATTTGTTGTTCCACTTATTTATGCATTCATTGATTGATTCTTGTATGTGCCCTGACTGGAGATCAAACTCACAACCTTGGCATATGGGTGCGATGCTCCAACCAACTGAGCTACCCAGCTAGGGCCAGTACTCAGTTCTTGAAATCTCTTTCCTGATCATTGTAAAAGTGATTCAAACTGCATATTGTTTGAATGCGATGAAAATTTTATAAAATAGAGTTGTTGATTTTAATTACCATTAATCCCTTCAAGGAAATCTAGCACTTGAATATGACTTTCTTAAACATTTTGTGACAGAATAGCAGAGTTTGATTATGATAATAAGCAAAAGTCTCATGTTGTAGACAGGACAATGTTGGTAAAATGGTGGCCTAGTATTTCTAGTATCCTTCATGCATCTTCATATTTCTGGTGCATGGGAACCATCAAGAGTTGGCCCTTGGTAGGTACTCAGACTTACTGAATTGAATCAGGAAATATCTAATGAGTTAAAATAGTAATGAAATTTTGTTTTGAAAGTAATTATGTTCTTGCAGAAATTCATTTCTTGAATACCTACAATATGGCTATGTCAGGTCTTAGGGATACAAAGAGAAATGGCATACCTTAGTCTCCTACAGGGACAGTTTTCACAAATAGAATGTAACTACATATATCTTCGGCAGGACAAATAAGAATCTGTTAAAATTTTAAAATCAAATATTTGAAGTCATGCAGACCCTGCTTATAGTTGAATTATACAATACTGATCTGTTCATAATAACTAGCAATTTATACACTATGTTAGGCTCTGTGCTAAACTTGTATTCATTTAATTCTGACAACCATCCTACTAGGTAAGTGTAGAAAAACTGTTACCTCTTTTGTATAGATAAGGTGAAAAAGGCACAGAATGCATAGGAAAATTTAGCAGGCACCCAAAGCAGTTGAACCAGAATCACAACCCACCCCAAATCACAGTAGTACTACAAAGCCTAAGGAAGCATATAGTCGGCTGATAATTAGGAGCTAGTCACCTTAGGCATTTAGGTAGAGATTTTTAAAAAATAATTTCTGAAATCAAGTGGTATGATTAAATAACCTCTTAAATTTCCTTTCAACTCCAGAATTCTTGAATTGTAGAAATAGTCCATGAAGGTAGAAAATACTAAAACAATAAAACAAAAAATACTCATTTGAAGTCCAAATGGAAAGCTTGAATTATTCTTGTAAATTAAAATCAAAGAAATTGATTACACTTAATTTTACTAGTGTAGTAAGAATTTTATATAGTTGGAGGTTGGATTTTAGGAACTACTATTTCTCTTAATCCTCCTTTTAATGACTTGGGACAGCGATTTTCAACTGGTGTGCTACAGCATTTTTAAAATATGCAATACCTGACTAGTTAGGGACACTGACCTCTTTTCCCTTAGATTGTCAAATTAAAAAAATACCTTTTTGTGTTTGTCAGCTCGGGAAAAGTATTTTTTGGTGTGCCATGAGATGAAAAAGGTTGAAAATTGCTGGCTTAGGAAATGTATATTTTTTATTGATCTTGAGGAATTGATCAAATTTGTATTGATAATAGTATTTTTACCAAAAGCTCTTCTCTGATGTCTTTGTATTAGTTCTGAATTTTTGAGATGGTGTAGTGGTGCTTTTGACTGAACCAAGTTTCAACTTTCATTTTAATTTGGATAGTTTTATAACTGTTCAGTGAGCCCTGGCAGGTATGGCTTGGTTGAGCATCGTCCCATGCATCGAAAGGTCACCGGGTCAGTCCTGGTCGTAGGCGTGGGTATGGGAGGCAACCTGTTTATGTTTTTCACTCTCTCTCCTTCTCACTTCTTCTCTCTCTAAAATTAATAAAAACATACTAAAAAATAATAAATAGAAATGTAATCAATGAATAGGGAGGTAAAGATAAGTGTCCATTCTCTGTGCAAGAAGTTTCTTGGAGTTCAAGGGGTGCTGCTCTGCAGATTGATAGAGCATTTATAAAAGCTGATTTAAACTGCAGAAGACATTCACAGCCTAAACTATTTTCCAGTCATTGGTATTACTGTTTTCTCTGGCCTGAAATACTTTCCTTAACATCAGTGCCCATCAATACTGGCAGTGTAGTTAAGTTCCTAAGGTACAGTTCAATGCTAAGTGTTTTAAAACTTATGGGGGGACAAAACTGGCACAGTTTGAGCTTGCTATAGCAGCAGAGTTGAACCTATTGCAGTGCTCTCTCTTCTATGAGGCAAGCTGTAACATAGATTTAGACTGTAAAAATACAAACAAAAAACTTAGGGTGGGAAAGCAGTTGTTTTCAGGTATGATGTGAAATATTTTAGAAAAGAAATAAGATTTTAATTAGATGCTCAAAGATGCAAACAGACTTTTGAGAAAGTGAAAGATGATTAAGGAAGGTTAGATTGACCGAGCTATCGTATGAAGAGTCGGGAAAATAAAATTGTATACATTTTTTTATCAAGCATTTTTATACTTAATTCTACTATGCTTTGCTATAGGTGTTTGCATATACAGATGAGGAAAAGAGAAATCTAGAAACCCTGGGAAATATAGTTGGAATATGGGAACTGATATATATTGGACTTAAGTGATACATATTGGACTTATGACTCAAGTCGTTGAATATACTCTCACTTTCTCTGGTTTCCTAGTTATAATGAAGCTTGAGGTGTAGTTGGTTTAGTTCCACATCAGGACATCTTTGGGGGGAATTCCAGTTACCAAAAGTTTGATTTTCCATTTCATTTTTTATCATGGAACATTTCAAACATACTCAAAATTGAAAGAATAATGTAATGTGGACTCGGATGAGCCATTCACCCAGCTTTAGTGATTACCCCCTCATAGTAATTAGCATGGGACTATAGACACTGGGCCATCACCATTGACTTAACTATGTGAATTTAGTTAAATTAACCTCTTGATTTTTTTTTAAACTGTAAGATGTATCTCTACCTCACTAAGTACTCTCTACCCCATAGGGTTATGATTATTCAATGACAAAATGAATATGAAACACTTATTATAGTGTGGAGCTTGGCCTTTTGCCCCTACTCAGCAATATTAGTTTAATTTCTTCTTTCATAGAAAAATGCAGTAAATGTCCACTGGTTGTGCCCAGCTGGTGGCTTGAGGCTGGTATTTCGAGTATAATTTCAAGTGCAGGCAATTATTTGCCCCACTCTTATGAGGCTTTCTTGCCCCCATGTTTCCTTAGCGATGGATTGTTCAGTAGAAGTATAGTGCAAGTCACATTTTGTTTAATTCAGTATATCTAAAATATTACTATTTTAGTATGTGTTCAATGTAAAAAAAAAATTGAGATGCTTTGCATTCTTTAATTAATTTCAAGTTTTCAATATCTTTGTGTTTTACACTTCAAAGCACATCTCCAGTTTGGACTATTTTAAGTACTCAGTAACCACATGTGGCTAGTGTCTGCCCTGTTAGACAGCACAACCATAGAATCCCACAAGGTGTTCACATTGTCTGTGCCCACACACATCTTCTGCAGAATCATGGGAGAGAGCTATGGCAAAGATAGAATTAGGATCTAGATTTTCTTCAAAGCTATTTGAAGGGTTCCTAATTGATTACGTCTAAGGGTTCCTAATTGATTACGTCTTTGTTTATTCTTGTATCGGAAGCTTAATTCCAGGTGGTTATTTGTTAACTCTCTGGAGTTATTAATGGTAGTAATGAATTATAATTTTAATTTGTATTTCTATTAAATTTTTTATGTGATAATTATTTGGCATAAATATGTAGTAGGAACTATTATGAGGAAGTTGAGTACTGAATAGTATATAGTAGTTATGATGCTATTCTTGATAGTACATTTTTGTTTTTTAAGATTGCAGCGAAAATTGGAGGTGATGCTGGTACATCACTGAATTCAAATGACTATGGTTATGGGGGACAAAAAAGACCTTTGGAAGATGGAGGTAAGTTATAGCCATAAGTATTTTAATTGTTCTACACAGTTTAGTTAAAGTAATTTTTAACTTTTTTCAAATGTTTTGTATTGAAACATTTTTATCATAAGGCTCCTAAAATTATAAGGTTTTATATGGCCTTGAAAGAGGGGAAAAGAGACCTAGACAAGGTAGGTAAAATTTGAGTCAACCAGCCAGTTTTGTCTTTACTAGAAAACATCACCTTTCTTCTTTTAAGATTGTGCCAGATTGACAGTTTGCACAGACTTAATATACTGGGGTGGAGGGGGGTACAAAAATGTAAATAAAATGTTTAGGGGACATTTCACAGGTTTTTCTCATCATACATGAATTAATCTTTATATGCTATATTTTCATTGTTCTGCTCTTTCAGATTTCACTTTAAAGGTTGACGTTGCTATAGTTTGTTATTCTAGTGTGTTGCAGGTTATACCTTTTTTTTGTTACATCTTTATTTATTTTAGTACCTTGTTTCAGGTTTAACTCAATGTGGATTACAGTAGTAGATTTACAGTGCCTTATATTTTTTAAAAAATATTGAAGCTTCTGAACTTAGAAGTTGGTATATATTTTTGTTTTAGATTTGATGTATGAAATTTTGATACAATTTCTTTTTGCCCTTTTTATTTTTTTTAAAGGAGGATTCTGAATGAGCCTATAGAATGTATTTGTAGCTTTTGACCAGGAGTACTTGGTTTTATTAAGTGACTTTCACATTTATAGTGAGGTTTTAATATACAAAAAAAAAAAATGAGCTAATGATGCTTCAGATGTTGTATGTAATGTATTCTTTTTATTTTATGTGTAGATGGCTCTTGGACAAGTCCGAGCAGTACAACACACTGGGAGGGAATGCCCTCTCCTTTTAAAGGCAGGAATTTTTATTTCTTACCTGTGTTTAGTATGTAAACGTGAAATAAACCAGTGGATTCTTATGGACACAATATTTCTTGGATTATGTGTCTGAATTTTTGCTGCACAACATTCTGATGTTTAATCATTTAACTTTGAAGGGGGGAGGAGAATAGTACTTAAAGCTATCTGTTGTCTATTCTAAGGTATGCATTGTATTCATCTGTAAAGGATGTAGATGAAGGTAGTCATGTAGTTGCTTTGAGTTTCTGCTGAAGTTCATGCCTTGATATGTTTGGTGAAGAACAATAGAACAGTTTAGATTGAGATTGCCTTGTAATGTCATTTTAAAATTTATTTTTCATAGCTTTGTGGTCACTGTCTGAAAGACTCAACTTTTGATATGTCAAATTTTCACATTTTGATAGGTCTTTTTTTTCTTCCAGTCTTCAGTTTCTACAGTGGGAAGCATCATTAGCCTTTAGCATGTGATATTTTGCTAGTAACGGACCTAAATACTTTGTCTTATAGCATTCTAAAGTGCTTAACATACATTAAGGTCAGTGATTTGCTACAGTCAAAAAGAATTTTTTTTAAATGTCTGTGCATCCTTTAAACATGAATAGTTTGGGCAAAGTTTGGCACTTTTGGCTCAAATGACACCATACCCTCAGCTATTTCAATAAATGTTTATATTGATATTCTGGCTTGGGCAGGGGAAACTGATTCTTAAATTTGCGCTTGTTGGCAAAAAATTAAAAGACTCTTAATTTTGCAGATCAACCAGATGCTAAGAAAGTTGCTCCTCAAAATGACTGTAAGTGTTTATTTGAAGTTGGGTTAAAAAATAAAGTAATTGGATTTTAATCAGGGATTCTTTCCTTTTGTTGGGTATCTTTGAAGTTAGTTGAAGGCCATGAATATTCTTTTAGAATGAATTTTTTTGTAAATATGTTCCTCCTGTCTTTATGATCTCTCACTTCAGTTATGACCAGGTATATGTTAATGAAATTGTTTTGACCTCTAAATTGTTTTACATACTCTATTTTATTACTCCATTTCTTAATCTATGCTTGCACCGCTAAAAGGGACTTTTTTTTTCTGTCATTGCTAGTAATGTCTGACCTTTTGTCTACTGTCAATGTTGACTTAAGTATTCTGCATAAAATTTTACTCTGTTCAAGGTGTTGCCTGTGCATCAGGGAAAGATTTTAGAATTGCTTGATAAGACTATCAAATATATGCTAATTTAAATTTAAACTTTTCATTTTTTATTTCATTGTTTTGGTAGCTTTTGGGACGCAGTTACCACCGATGCATCAGCAGCAAAGGTATAGTCAAAAGCTTTTCAAAGAGTACTTTGCAAGTTTTAGTTGAATTGTATGTAAAAAAAACAACCAAGTTAGTGTATGATGAATATGTGTCTGTCCTTTTTGTGTGTGTAGTTCACTTCCTTTGACTTAAGAAAGTCATATAGAATGATCATTTTTCGTTTTGAGTGAGGTACATTTGTAGTTTGGAAGGATGGGGATAATTAGCCACATTTTAGAAGAACTAAGGTGAATTAAAATACCAGTTAAAAAACAAACAGTTCATATGACATTCCCCAGACTCTACTCCAGCTTCTTTGCATACCTTCAGACTGTTCCGTCCACCATACCCTCCTCACTTGATGTGTGTAACCTTAATTAAAGTTTGACTATAAGCAGACCTGTTCCTGGAACCCTGGTTTGAGCCATTAGGCCTCCATTTTTATCAGTAGAGTACCTTTTATATGTAAATTTATCTTTCTTTGAAGGATAATGTTAGTTTCTGTTTCTTTGTTTTTTTAGCAGGTCTGTAATGACTGAAGAATACAAAGTTCCAGATGGAATGGTTGGATTTAGTAAGTTTAGGTTATAAGTTCTGTATAACCTAATTTTTAAAGCTTTGAAAACATAATCAAAACATACTTTGCAATCTTTCAGCTAATAATTTTGTTTTTTCTTACTAGTAATTGGCAGAGGAGGTGAACAGATCTCACGCATACAGCAGGAATCTGGATGCAAAATACAGATTGCTCCTGGTAACATTATTCTCTTGCTATTTTCATAGTAGAAAGCTAGCATATTTTTTAAGTTGCTAGTGAAAATTACGGTGTCTGTTACTCTTTTCTCGGCCTTAAACTTTTTTTTGTTTTAAATTGTAGACAGTGGTGGCCTTCCAGAAAGGTCTTGTATGTTAACTGGAACACCTGAGTCTGTCCAGTAAGTATGAAAATCATGTGTCTGAGGCCAGCCCCTTCTTCCTACAGAAGGACATTGCCTTTGCAATTGAACCAACTTTCTCCTGCACTATTAATTTACCCCTTTTCTAGATAATTTCTAATAGCATACAGAAACGCTTGAAAATCTCTCGTTAACCAAAACCACCCCTGAACCCCACATTTCTATTTCACTGCTCCTTTTTACAACAAAACTCCTTAAAAAAAAAAGAGGTAGCTCTACTCTGCTTGGTATATCATTTTCCTGTTTTCATTTTGTCTTGAACTCATACCAGTCAGGCTTTGATTTCCACTGTTCCGTTTAAATTGGTGTATTTAAGATCACAACCGGCTGCCTCCTTATTCAGCCTGTCAGCACTGTTGACACAGTGGACCGCTTGCCTAGGCACCCACTTCCCTGATCCTCTTTTTCAGTCTATCGTGGTTGTCAGCCTTGTCTTCCTAGACTCTCAAAATAAAAGTGCCACAAAATTCAGTTCTCCTACAATATATCTACACATACTCTTTAGATGACTTCATTTACTCTCTTAAGCTTCTTTTGATACATAGCTTTATATACCATAGATTTTATGTTCTCCTAAATTTTTATCTTTAGCCTTTATCTCTTTTCCTAAATTCCAGATTTATATCTAGCTGCTCAGTGCCTGCACTTGTCCATTAGGCATCTCAAACTTTAGACTGTTAGAAAATTGAATCATTGCTTTCCACCCCATTTCCAGCCTGCTTTTATTTAATTTTTTTTACTCATCTCATTTATCTCTTATATGTATGGCAACTCTTTTAATACTTTCTCTTCTTCCTCATTTATCCATAAGCAATTCTTGGTCATATTTTATTCATAATTTATTTGAAGTCCATCCTCTTTTTGTTGTCTTCTATACTATCACCTTATCTGTGATGCCATTTACCAATATCACAGTGTGTCTCCATTGTTTTAGCCTTGTTCAACACTAGTCTGTTCTTATAACAGTATAGCCATACTGATTCTTTTAGAATGTGAATCAATTCATAACACTACTTTGCTCAAAAATCCCCCAGTGCTTCCTCGATTGGCGTAAAAGTCAATGTCTAGCATGGCCTATTTACCTGCTATTTTTTTCACTTCATTTTTTTTACCATTCTCCCAACCCACTCTGTTCTAGCCTCATGTAGCCTTATTCTTTCAGCACATCAAGCATGCTTCTCATTTGAGTCCTTTGCACTTCCTATTTCTTCTCTGTGGAACATTTTCCCCCAGATGTTTTCACATTCCCTCCCCCTCTTCCTTCAAATCTTGGCTCAAATGTCTCTTTATCAGTAAAGTTTCTCATACCTTTTTTCCATAAAATAGCATCCCTTCACACACATACACATTTGGTCATCCTTATTCTGTTTTTCTTTAGAGCACTTCCCAAATGATACGTAATTTATTTAATGAAGTTAAGCCATGTGAGCGGAAACTCTTGTCTATTTTGTTCCGTGCTGTAACCCCATTAGCTAAAATAGTACCTGTCATATAACTGACATTTCTTATCTCTTTATTGAATGAATAAATTTTAACATTTGAGTGACCAAAGTGATGGTTTAAAACATAAATTTTCATTTAGTTCTTGGAAGAATCAGCTTAATATTGCAATAACTTTAGAACTTGAGTGCTACGTAGAAATTCTGGATTCTCAAAAATGTTGAAAATTGTATACCTAGAATATTGATTGAATAGTTTGAATCTTTGATCCTGATAGCATTTTCTTTTAATTAAAATTGTTAGAATTTAGCTTTAAGCCACCTAAACTGGAATTGGAAGGGGTAACTGGTTATATTTTGTATTTCTCTCTCTGGATAAGCTTTTGGATGTGCTGCAACTTGACTGTTAATTTGTTGACAGATCAGCAAAACGGTTACTGGACCAGATTGTTGAAAAAGGAAGACCGGCCCCTGGCTTCCATCATGGTGATGGACCAGGAAACGCAGTTCAAGAAATAATGATTCCAGCTAGCAAGGCAGGATTAGTTATTGGAAAGGGGGGAGAGACTATTAAACAACTTCAGGTATTATTATTTATAAAATGATGACTATTCATCTGTTTTAAAGCCATTTTCCCTCTACTCCCCTTTTATTAATACATAATGGTTTTTATCATCAACAGGAGCGGGCTGGAGTTAAAATGGTTATGATTCAAGATGGACCTCAGAACACTGGTGCTGACAAACCTCTTAGAATTACAGGAGATCCATACAAAGTTCAAGTAAACAAGTTTATATTTTACAAAGAAGGGTTTGGGGTGGGTGCAAAATGAGCAAAACATGTATGAATAAATTACAGTGTTTTCGACATGCTTTCTAAATTGGGTAATTTTTTCTAATTCAGCAAGCCAAGGAAATGGTGTTAGAGTTGATTCGTGATCAAGGTGGTTTCAGAGAAGTTCGAAATGAGTATGGGTCAAGAATAGGAGGAAATGAAGGGATAGATGTAAGTAAATATTCAGAAGTGGTTGTATGCTATTCCCTAAGTATAATAGTGTTTTTCCTGTTTTGTATTACATAGCCTTCTCTAACATTGTGTCCTCTTTTTTTCTCCCACTTTCCATCTTAGAATACAGTAGTATATTTTGTGTCTTGTTACCCTATTTGATATAAACAGTGCTATATGTACTTTTATGATTTGAGGCAGCTTGATTTCAGGAAGTGGCTTTCTTAATACTTAGTCTCCTTTGCATAAGGTCCCCATTCCAAGATTTGCTGTTGGCATTGTAATAGGAAGAAATGGAGAGATGATCAAAAAAATACAAAATGATGCTGGTGTTCGAATTCAGTTTAAGCCAGGTGAGTGCATACGTTTAGTTTTCTAAGTGTTGGTAGCAAATACTTTTGACAGTGACACAGTAAATGCTAAATTAATCTATTTTGTTTCTTTTTTGTTTTGTTTTGAAGATGATGGAACAACACCTGACAGAATAGCACAAATAACAGGACCTCCAGACCGATGTCAACATGCTGCAGAAATTATTACAGACCTTCTTCGAAGTGTTCAGGTTTGATAGAATACTAATATTTTCTTTGTTTTATTTTCATTCAGAAAGTTTTCCGTTAGCCCTAGCCGGGTAACTCAGTTGGTTGGAGCATCATTCATACATCAGAAGGGGGTTGCGGGTTCTATTCCTTGTCAGGGCACACACCTAAGTTGAGGATACTGTCCCTCATTGGGGCGCAGACAGAAGGCAACTGACGGATGTTTCTCTCCCTTTCCCTCTCTCTCTCCCTCCCTTCCTCTCTCAAATCAATAAAAACAAATCCTAGGGTGAGAATTTAAAAAAAAAAATTCCTTCATCAAATCTGAAAGTGCCCCCCTTCCTTTATTTTATACCAGAATCTGTTTGGTGATACTTAATAACTAGAAAGTTTACATCGCTTTGAGGTGCACATCTTGGAGCAGGAAGACAGCTACCTTATTCATTCCAGAATAAATGATGGTTATTCCTGGCTGATTATTTAAGCCAAGTTATCTCCAAACGTCTCTAAATTTCTGATTTAGGAAAATGAGAGTTGAGGAAAGTAAAAATGTAATACTTTTATTGTGGAAAGGAATATATTTTTATGCTGACTTTGTTTCTTGTCTTACTCTTTAGGCTGGTAATCCAGGTGGACCTGGACCTGGTGGTCGAGGAAGAGGTAGAGGTCAAGGCAACTGGAACATGGGACCACCTGGTGGACTACAGGAATTTAATTTCATTGTACCAACTGGGAAAACTGGATTAATAATAGGAAAAGGTAATGTATCTTAAACTCTTTAATGTTTTAATGTATGGTTAAAGTTTTAACGTATTAATTTTTTTGTTGATATTTCTGTTGCTGTTTTAAACAAGTAGTGATGATTTTTCCTGAGCTGTATTTTAGTAGAAAAGTGTTATGTTGTTATGTAACAACTAAAACGTAAATTAGAAGCACCTTATATATACTTAAATAAAAAGAGTGGTATTTTATCCACATGAGCTTCTAGAGAAGACCAACAGCTTAATTATTAGTGTAAGAAACTTCTTTTGACCCCAAAAATGGTTTGGGTGCTTTTGTTTACTTTGCTATTTCCTGATACACATGTTGTCAAATTTCTGTATTTAATGTGTTACTTTATGTTTACATTGCTTTAAAACTGCTTTTACTGTAAAAGCAGTTTAATTGAACTATTTTGATAAGTTATCCATTTTAAGGTTAGGTATAGGCATACTAAGTAAAGTCTTAAAACTTAAATGTATTTTAAGAGAAGCATTAAATGTTTTATATAATTTGGTTTAAAGTGTAGAATAAATGGAACTCTTACTAGAATATTGGCAGATGGACTACTGGTCAAAACTTAATGGCCCATTTAATTGTGACTTTAAGTTTATTGAGGTAACATTGGTTAAGGACATGTAAATTTCAGGTATATATTATACTTTGATATCTGTATACCCTATTTCATGCTCTATACCCAAAGTCTAGTTCCTTTCTATTATCGTATATTTGACCCCCCTTTGCCCAATTTGCCCTTCCCCTCTGGTAATCATCATTCTGTTTGTATCTATGAGTTGGTTTTTGTTAGTTCATTTGTTACTTCCATTTTATTTTAAATACCTTCTCGTGTATCCTTTGAATCCTTAGAGAAATTACTGTTTTGATTTTAGGAGGTGAAACCATAAAAAGCATAAGCCAACAGTCTGGTGCAAGAATAGAACTTCAGAGAAATCCTCCACCTAATGCAGATCCTAATATGAAGTTATTTACAATTCGTGGCACTCCACAGCAAATAGACTATGCTCGACAACTCATTGAAGAAAAGATTGGTGTGAGTATTCTTCAAACTTCAGTTTATAACATAGATCCTGTTAGTTAAGTAAGACATTGATTCAGGTGCTTCCAAAAGTGCTATACAGAAAAAGGTCAATTTTTAGTCTAAAATTATAGATCATCACATACTAGATAACAAACATAGACTAGATTGTCCAGTAATAAAAGTAACCTAATTAAATATAGTAACAGGTGTTCAGAATCTTACATGTGAGTGTGGGTGGATAAGAGGATAGCATTACTTGCTGATATGTTAGGGTTGGTGGAGGATTGTGGAACATATTTGAAGGATGCAGTTAATGGAAATTCAGTGTTTATTAAGGGCTTTATATATAGCCCTGGTGAGGCAAAGTTGAATCAGATGCATCCCATTTTAAAGTAGAAATTTGTAAATCTTAATTCTTAGACAGTCATCTGGGGAGTTTTAAATGTAGACTGTTTGGGTGTTTTCCACCTCTACACATAACATACACAGTTCTCATTCAGAATATCTAGAATAGAGCCCAACATCTAATTTTAGAGACATGTTCCAGGTGATTCTGATGCATGGCCAAACTTGAAAATTTTTAAACTAGAACAGTTTGCTGGTCGTAGTGCAAAAATGTATGAACAGTCTTGACTGTTCTTTCTTATGAATGAGGTAAATATTGCTTTACTGTTTTACTATAAAGAATTAACCTGGGGTGTAAATGAGCATTTTAAATTATTAATAATAATTAGAATTTCTTAGGAAAATTCTTGATGTGTACCATGCTGTGGATAGGGTGCAAAAGAAGTTTGAAACTGTTTCTGTCTGGGAAGTCAAAAATAGATGTACAAAAAATACTTAAAGGATATCTTATAAAAATACACACAAATATTATATGAACAATAAGTAATTGTACAGAGACATAAAGAAAGTAATTGTGGACTCAGTAATGGCAGAGATTGATGCCAGAAAAACGAATAGCACATCTTGGTTTTAAACCTTACTGGTTTTTGCTCAGCCAGTGTTGCTCAGTGGTTGAGCAACAACCTATGATCCAGGAGATCTCTGTTCAGTTCCCAGTCAGGGCACATGCCCAGGTTGCAGGCTCAATCTCCAGTGTGGGGCGTGCAGGAGGCAGGCAATCGATGACTCATCATTGATGTTTCTTTCTCTTGCTTCCTCTTTGAAATCAATACAAACATTTAAAATTTTACTATTCTTTTATTCATGGATCAGGATTCCTTCTGGATTGGTAGACAGACAAAGTAGATTGTCCTAGAGAAGCAGTTTAATATAGTGGTTAAGAACATAGACTTGAGTTAGGCTATTTGAGTTCAAAACACTCTGTCCCTGACTGGCTTTTCTCAGTGGTTAGAGCTTTAGCCCTTGCATCAAAAGGTCTCGGGGTCACATTGATCCCTCTCTCCTCCTCTCCCCTTCTTCCTCTGCTCCTCTCCCTCTCTTCCACTCTAAAAATCAGTGGAAAAAATATTCTCAGATGAGGATTAACAATAAATAAATACTCTGAATTATTTACTGACTGATCTTGGGGAACATTATATTCATTTTTGCCTCAGTTTCTTGCTATGAGAAGGAGGATAATAGTTCCTACTTTATAGGGTTGTAGTGATTAAATGATTTAAGTGTGCGGAGTGCCCGTCACATAGCCTTATAAAAATGTTGCTACTTTGTCCTGGCTGGTGTGGCTCAGTTGGTTGAGTGTTGTCCCATGCACCTAAAGTTCACTGGTTCCATTCCCAGTTAGGGCACATGCCTGGGTTGTGAGCTCAATCCCCAGTAGAAGGTATGCAGGGGGCACCTTAGTTTTGTTGAACGAGAACTAGTAGTTACATTATTGGTCGAGTATTCCATAAATAGTTCACAATATAAGACCTAAGCAATTTGGGAAATATCTTGTTAAGATGGCTGTGGTTATTGGTAGGAGAGTAGATGTAGATGCAGAGAGAAGAGCTAGAGAAATAGGATCTGATATTTCATAAGCTTCCATGATGAAGATGAGAAATACTGGTAGAAGTAAGAATTACCAAGGGGAAGGGGAATAGTCTGAATAAAATAGAAGTAAAGGAAATGTTTCAGTTCTTTGCTAGTGCTGTTGATTTTAATGAATTTTACATGTCTCAATAAGATAGACTTAAGAAATGAAGGAAGATCTAAAATGTATTGCTTGTGGCCATATAAGAAGATAGAAATGGAAGATTGTTTTTGGCCTTTGAGTTGTTCAACCATTGCTGTTTTTCTGATTTTTATATGTTTTTTGGCAGGGCCCAGTAAATCCTTTAGGGCCACCTGTACCCCATGGGCCCCATGGTGTCCCAGGCCCCCATGGGCCTCCTGGGCCCCCTGGGCCTGGAACTCCAATGGGACCATACAACCCTGCACCTTACAATCCAGGACCTCCTGGCCCTGCTCCTCAGTAAGTATTGGGTTTGATTTTGTGCTTTTCCCTAACATCTTAGCTTTTGGTAAATCTTATTTTTATATTGATTTCTGTATTTTCAGTGGTCCTCCAGCCCCTTATGCTCCCCAGGGATGGGGAAATGCATATCCACACTGGCAGCAACAGGCCCCTCCCGATCCAGGTAAAAAATGCTTATCATCTGTGTGTAATCTATATTGTTTTTCACTCCTGTTACATTCTTGCATTTTCTAGTTTTATTTCTACATTGCATTCCATTTATTGCACTTGTTTCACTCTTTCAGCAGGAGTGTTAGGTTTGGGTTCTACCACAGTGTGTTAGACTGGTATGAATATGGTCTATTCTCATGAAACTTTTTTTGACCTGCATTTGACTTTCTCTACTTTTGATGTTTAGTACAGCAGAGTACTAAAAGCCAAAAGCTATAGGAAGAAGTACAATGTCTAAAGTGTTAGGTTACCATGCCGTTACATGTATATAGTATGTTAAGAGTCTACATGGAGTGTTTAATACTTGGGCATTAAACTCTTAAGTTCTCAAATAAGATATATAAGTTGTCTGTTTCAGTGTTGCAGATATGGTAACTTTACCTGTTAGTAAAAATCAGGTCTGTATTTATTTATTTTTTAATTTATCTTTATTGTTGAAAGTATTACAGATGTCCC